ACCTTTAGCCCCCCCCCCCCCCCCCCCCCCCCCCCCCCCCCCCCCCCTGCCGCCACCTGCCATTCCTCCACCCCTCTCCCTTCCTCCGACCCCTCTACCCTCTCCCCCCGGGCGTTCAGAGACACGAGATGTCTAACTTATGGTCGATATCCTTGCGGCATGAATGATCTCATGACTAAATCCCCCGCTCTTCACACCCATTTTCCTTCGGTGCACCCAAAGGTGCGGCAGCGGAGGTGCGAGGTGAAGTACATCTCGTTTTCCGCACACGTGGACTTCGTCCAGAACAAGGGCTTCATCGACGGGGTGCAGGTGCGGCGATGGCGGCGTCCACGCGATATAGCAAAACGCGATGGAAGATAAAAACGAAAACCCCAAGACTGTCACACACTGTGCCACGCCTTTCCTCTCCCTTTGAAGGTTCCACTAGGGACTGGCTGTACGCCGTTCGTACATATACGCGATGGAACAAGACGTTGACGAAATGGTGACACATAATGTATGCCATGCTTGTTGAGCTTCCCATGATTAAGTCCTTCGGCACTCACTCTGTCGCCTACTGCAACTATTGCCGGAGTGGTCGCGATTCTGCCTCCCCCGTCGCGTTCGGACGCACGTTTTCGTCTTATATTTCCTTGACGCTGGAGGCCGTGACTTTTGTTCTGCCTTTCTTTTTTTGTTTGCTTTCCTCTCTTGGGTTCGCGCCCCTAGCCGGCCAACGTTATCCTGGTGCACGGGGAAGAGACGGGCATGCTGAGGCTCAAGACCGAGCTCGAGAAGCAGTTCGCCATGGTGCCCCAGGACGAGAGACCCCTTGTCTTCAACCCCAAGAACTGCGCCGAGGTGTGTTTGCTCCCGTTACCCGAAGATCGAATCTCGCTGCAACATGCAACATACCGGCCCACCAAGATAGAACCCCAAAGCACGCACAACACATGTTTCCGCATCCCTGCCCACCCGGAATTAAAAAGTGAATCTAATAAACGTTTGCAGGTGAAGATCGAGTTTCACCGGGAGACTGTGGCCAAGGCGGTCGGCTCCCTCGCTCGCGACCTGGGCGGCCGCGGGAAGGGTAGCAAGGGTGTCAGCAGGCGGGCGGCGGCCGCGCGACGGCGAGGCGAGGCGTTCGACGTGCAGGGGCTGCTGGTGAACGAGCGCTTCACCAAGAGGCTAATGTCCGCGGACGAGCTGGACGAGTACACGCTGGTTAGTGAGGGGGGGGGGGGGGGNGCAGCAGCAGCAGCAGCAGCAGCAGCAACAACAGCAGCAGCAGCAACAACAGCAGCAGCAGCAACAACAGCAGCAGCTTTACTTGTTTTGTGAAGGTTTTTCAAGTCGAATCGCGGCCGGACATGCGGAGAACAGCGGTCGTGGAGAGCTCGAGGCCCGACGATAGGCCTAGACCGCTCATGTCGTTGGCTGCCTGCCCCCTCTCCCTGTTTGCCTATGCCAAGGCCGCCTCTCCCTCTCTCTGACCAAACCTTGTCCAACGTGGCCGCTGTGTAGTTTGCATAAATATAAGCAGTATAGTCCCGGCTGTTTCTTCCCCCCTGCTGACGGCAACACCGTGCATGTGTACTTTTGCGTAAATACATGCAATCGTCCCGACTGTTTCTTCCCCCCCCCCCATGCGGACATCCCCCCCCTCGGTGGTTGCCATCGGGGTTGGGTTTTCGTCGCTTGGCAACGACGTTGTAAAACAAGCCAATTCACTTCGTGAACTCGGCAACCAGGTTACCGGGTTTTTTTTTTTGGCGGTAACCATACTGGTGGTCGAGTAGATCATGTTGTGCGAGGTGGAGAACCCTCGCTCCGCGCAAGGGGGATGATCGCACCACGTTGTGTTAAAATGGTCAAGCACCCTCGAGGCAGTTACACAGTGCTTACAACTGTCTCTGGAAGTGAAAGACCAGAAAGTAAAGTAATTCATACGCAGCTGTCATCCGTATGCAAGGAAGTAAGCACAAGATGCCGAAAACCCTTAGCAGGATGCAGCGCACCCTTCATGCGAGTCGCCGAATATCTCACGGCGCTTCGCGCTTGGTGATGTGAGAGCCTGGTCCGGTGAGAACCCGGCGTGCTCCGTCCCGG